TCGGACTCTCTGATCGGATCTGTAACTATTCTGGCTCTTCATACGCCATCCGTGTACAACAATATTTATCACTATGAAAAGTAACAGTTACATAAAACTAAATTCATTTCTGAGAAGTTTTTAGGGCAAGGAAGTGTGTCCGCCGCGCTGCCCCAAAGCGTGATGGCGAACTTCACATGTCTTCGAAATATTTTTTCTTATTCCTCAGACATGTATGTAGCTTTCCTCACGATATTTTCCTTCACCGCCGAGTAAATCAGTACTTGAAATTACAATTAACAATTTCATTGGTGCCGGTGGCGATCGAACCCAGGCTACTCGTGTACTGTGATATTTACAGTGAGCGTTAACCATCTGAGCTACGGCGGCTCAGTTACTTAAATCATCCTAATTATAAAGATTAGTAGTATTGTTGTAGCACGAATGGGTCGGCTCGACCGGGGAAGGACCACGCTCTCACAGAATACCAGCGTGAAATGGTAGCTTAATGCTGCTGTATTTCGTATGGTGAGTGTAGAGAACCGGAGACCCTTTTTACTGGAAACGAGGCATTCCATCTTAGTCCTCACGGGTGACAACGCATCTGCATTTTGATTCGTAATCGAGGATAGATGTAGATGTCTATGGGGCACAGCAACCACTTACCATCAGGTGGACTGTGTGCTCGTTTGTCAACCAGTCCTATAAAAAAATGAGGAAATTCTTAACCACTATTAAAAGTTGACTGCTCCTCCTGCATAGATTGCCTCATAAGGGGATCTTATATTTGCCTCGCTCGGCAAACGGATTCGCAAACGCAGTTTTATTTCAGCTTTTATCCATGAAATAAAAGATTTTAATCAATGTAGATTATAATACTTATTGAACGTCATTTTTTATTTACCACTGGTTCGGAAAATACCTCTGTCCTGGGAAGAACCAGCAAGAAACACAGCGAGACTTTTTTTAACAAATTTTATATTGATTTTTGTATAATATATGTACATATTTTTCAATGATTGGATTTTATAGAACCAGACTGGCGATCACCTTATTCTCAAGGATTATTATATTAACCTTTTTCAACAAATTTTGTACACTCTCTGGGATTTTGTTGTAAAAAGTATAATATAAGAACAATGATTATAATAAAACAACCTGTACATACACATAACAACATATAAACTTTGGCATTGCAATATTTTTCATAAATATATTTTGATGCCAAAGTTAATATGTATATTTTTTTAAATTTTTCTCTAAGGGACTCTACAATTTAAGTCACAAATCCCCTAAGTCCCGTAAGACTCTTTTTTGCAAAACAAATATGGCTTCAATATCAGTCGCATTACCCCACAGTGAAATTCCACAAAACATTACCTACGCTATGAAAGTGTCTGTCTCAACATTGGTGAGACTTCTCGTCTTTTTACAGAATATGCTGCGGAACTAAATCTGCCTGCTAGTTATATATGGGAGTCCCATTGAAGCTTTCCGTGGATAGTAATGCCAAGAAAATCAGTAGTATCTACAATGATATTATAAGTAAAAAGGTTTTTATTTATTCCTATTTTCTTATAATATCATTGAGTATCTATAAGACTCAACTCATCCCCATAGAGCACATTGGTATTCGAATGTTTAATATTTAATATTGTAAATTCAATACATTTTGTATTATTGCCGTTTAAGAGCAAATTGTTGGCGTAAACCAATGTACTAATTTCGATAGAGCCATAGATTACTGTGTATATACTAGGATAGAGCATTATTTACATTGTCAAAATTAAATGACTGACGTTTAAGTTTGAAAATTAAAGAGGTATCATTAGCAATAATAATATACCAAATAAACAGCAAAATGACACGGGGTGTACATAAAATGGAGTAGAAGATATTCTTGAACCACCATTACGCAGTTAATTACGTTCTAAATTCGTCGGTATATAAGATATTTTATGCATGATTATTGTGATTCTAAATAAAGGATGGATGTAGCTAATTATGAGTCATAGCCTCCACTTACGGTCAGGTGGACTGCATTGTTTTTATTGAAAAGGAATCCACCGTCCATGAGCAAATGCAACATCAGAGGAAATGTAGCTGCGTTGCCGGCGTTTTAAAAATTTTTAAAATGTGTTTTTAAATGCTTAGCTTCTATGTAGGCTTTTTCTTGATGGTTACTAAGTCGAATCGGTCCGAAAAATAGCTGGTGGTAGCTGATTCTACAAAAAAGTTGTGCGATGAAGAAAACTATACTCAGTTGTCTAAACAAATCAAAATTCAAGGTTAACCCCCCCCCCCCGTCCAAATCCTATCGAAAAATCGCTGGTGGTAGCTGATGCCACAAATAATTCATGCGAAAACTTTGCTCGGTTGTCTAAAATTATGAATCAAGCTTGAGATACTGTACTGTATGTACACAAATTAGCCTTCGTGCCAACGAGTTCTTTAACCTTTCAGTTTTTACGAATGTTCTCAGCACCGATGCTTTTTGTTCAAGTCCTACAAAAACTTCATGGCTCATCATTAACAGAAATCTGGACGTGCGTGAACACGGACCACGGGGAATACTGTTCGCGAATATTAGTTTCAGATTTATATTCGTTTTGGTGGCTTATTGGATTCTGTTATATTTTAACGAGTCGGTTGTTGACATTTCAACCAATTGAACATTTAATGAGTTGTCAAAACAAATATAACTACATAAATTGACGTCATAGGTTTTAAAGTAACAGTCATCTTATTTGTTAAAAGTTACAGCCTATATGGGTCCCACTGCTGAGCACACATCTCTCGTTTCTGAGAGGGTTTTAGGGCAAAGAAATGTCCGCCGCGCTGCCCCAATGCGTGTTGGCGAACTTCACATGTCTTCGAAATATTTTTTTTCTTATTTCTCAGAGATACAAGTTTTCTCACGATGTTTTCTTTCACCGCCGAGCACGTGGTAAATCAGTACTTAAAATTGCAATTAATAATTTTATTAGTGCCGGCGGGGATCGAACACGTAATGTTACTTTACAGCGAGCGCTACCTCAGATAGGTACAACGACTCCATCTTATTTATATATTTTTTAAATATTAAAAATCAAATTAACTGAAAATAGAAATCGTCTTAAAAATGAAAGAACTTATATTTTCGTTACTCAACCACTTGAAACGGAAACATTGATCAAAATAATAACCATATAAAAACAAAGTTAACACTGAATTGCAGCAGTGAAAAAGTTGGCATAGTACTATATATATATAGCCACAGAGTTACCAAATTTCTGTATTCTGTAAAATCCAAATTAAAAAGACGTGTGGCACTCGGGGACTGCCGCGGTAAAGCTATTGCATAGCATTTTGTATCAACTTATGCAATTATAATTATTTATTTATTTTATTTATGCAGTATTTCTTTTTCTTTGATATTAATTCAAGTTACACTTTTTGAGCGTGGTGACCGATAAGAAAACAATTTTTTTTCTTTTATTAAATAAATAAATAATAAATGCACTTTGTTCATTCATATTCAAAACACTTTATACACAAATTTTACAAGTACAGCTATTCACTGTTGTACATAAATACCTATACACCTATATACTTTCTCATAAACAGCTGCTTATGTATTCGTCCGATTTCGGAGCAGCTCGTCTCGATTCGTGCGAGCTTCGTAGAGTCGTACAATACGTCTAGTTGCACGCACACAAACACCGTGTCGAAGACTGACGAAAAGAAACGACGTTAGACAATGCACGGCCTTCAAGCCACACCTCCGTGCCCGTCGGAGTGGGGAGCGTGAGGTTTTTTCGTTACGGAATTTCTGGATTCAAGGCCCGCGATAGAAGCTATGCAATAGCTTAAAAAAATCATCTACTGATGTAAAGCATCAACGTTCCGGGAAGTCTGCAGTTTGTGATCATATCCTAGACGGCCCCAACCATTACGTCAGATTTCATAGACCACAAATCCTCGCGAAAGAACATCGATTCCTACCAAGGATGATACGTGAGGCTATTGAAATTAAAAAACATCCTAATTTCAATAGAGAAGGAGGCTGCGTACTACCACCTGCTTGGGAACCTATAATCAAAAAAATTAAAACTAAACCGAAGCATACCATAGCAAGACCTCAGGACATAGTTCATTTTGCATAGATCGGACCATAAACAATAATTAAAAAAGTTGAATGTACTCCGGGTTGAACTGTGACATCTGGACGTCAGTCACCTCAGTCCTCCGGGACCATGGGTGCTGGAAAACGCCCGAAACGTCGCGTCGGGAATTAAAAATAAAAATAATTAAATTAAATTAAACGCGATAAAATCCATAAAAGTAGTTTTAATCAATGTGTAGTGTTCGCGTAAATATAAGAAAGCGACAAAAAATTTTCTGTACTCATAGGTGGTGTTAGTGTTGTGCGACTTGAGAAAGGCGTTTAATCCAGGTGTAAAATACCCATGCTGGTGATGAGGAGCTACGCGGGACTCTGGTACGATCATCAGCCCGTTTGCCAAACGTGACGATTAAGTCAAATCCTACCTACAATTTTAGAGAGGCTCATATCCATTTGTGAACTATGATTTAGAAAAATACCTATTGTTTTACTTATGTACGAACACAAAAATAAATTCTGGCAGAATTGATCAATTCTATGATGTACCACTTTTTGAAGCCTGGAAATAAACCAATACTATTATCAAATACAACGAACTAATAGCGTAGTTTCTCACAGAGTACCAGCGTAAATGTGTTTTGCATGGTGAGCGATAGAGAACCGGAGACCTTTTTCACTGGAAATGAGGCATTCCATATGCGTCCTCAGGGCTAGGTTTTGAATTTTGATTCTTAATCGAGAATAGAGGTAGATGTCTATGGGCCACAGCATTCACTTACCATCAGGAAGACTATTTTCGTTTGTCACCCCTATTCTATGAAAAATACGACAAAAATTCATCTAATAGCGCTAGACACAAATTTTACAGTTTGCCGATGGGTAGTTTTAATGAATATGTTTTTTTTTGTCATCACAGAAGGCGAACTAGAAGCAGAATGGCTGCAAGCAGCCGGTCTGGCGTCCCTCGCGGCGCCCTTCCAAGATGGACAGGAAGTAACGGAGGCCCAGCTGGGTGAGGCCGTTAGGCCTTTGCCCCGGGAGCAGGCCGCCGCGGTGCGCCGTCGGGTACGAAGGCTCAACCGTACTGTGAGGAGAAAACGAGCCGCCTCCAGAGCGAAGAAACCCGATATCCGGGATGTGTTCCGTGATTTAGAGGTGAGTTTGGTTTTTCAAATTTTATTATTTTTATATATATTTTTTTTATTAATATACCAGCGACCAGCTCTGACATTCGACTGAGTAAGATCTATTAATGTGGCGTGGTAGGCGCTTGCCGTTGTCGAGAATATCACAGTACCTGAGCAACCCAGGTACGATTTATTTATTTGCTATGGAAAGTGCTTATTTAAAAAAAGAACGTTACGCTAGGATTTTCCCCTATATCGTGACGATAGTTTACATACATAAATTGCACAAGGACAGACATTCAGACCAGGCACAACTTTTTTTTCTGAAAGTGTATGCTGTTGACCCTGCGGCCTTTACAGCTTCATCGAAATAGACTAGTAAGCGAGGACCTACGTGCTATCAAGAGCAACGATTCTACCGGCGTCGTCGACTGCAGTCGCGAGGCACCCCGGTCCCTGCTTTTTCGATGTGATTCAAGGGCCCTTCAGAAGGAGATGCGAACCTCGGCTTGAACCACTATCGAAATGTGGGAAATCGACACAATTATTTGTAAGCCTTTCCGTGCGGGATTCCGTACCCTGGACTCCATGATCAGCAGTCCCGGTTACATATGACTCCTGAATCTGGCAGATTTATCTACTTGACCGCTAAACATTTCCCACAAGTAAGGCGCATTTACTTTACTCAGGTAGGTTTTTGTTAGATCCCTGCGGTTGTACGAAACAAAGTCAAAAGTCAATGCACCGGCCTTGAATTAAGTCTATTGTGCAATTCAATTCTTGTCTCGAGTTTCATATTGAATAAATACTTAGTTGTAAATTAAATAACAAATCAAAAGTAACATTGATAATACCGTACGTAATTTATACAATAAGTTTGTGTTATAAATTTATACATTACACTAAGTATATTTACTATAATACGTGACGGTAATACGGTCATCCGGTTAAAATGGTCACTTTCTTTCAACTCAAAAACTACAGCCTTGTTTGCATAGAAGGCTTCGTGATACGATAGCTCTTCATTCTTTAGTCAAATAATAAAGGGTCAAAAGTGCGCTGCTTTATCGACGCCATTTTGACAGTTGACATTATAGTATTTTAATCGATTTAAGTATGGTGTAGTCACAGATTACCTCCTAATAGATACCGCATCATGGAATATTTGTTCTATTTCGATATCACCAAATTTTGAGTTGCGGGGGACGTGTCAAATGCGCTGTTATTGGATAATTCAAGGTTGAACTTAGAATGCTCCGAACCATAGAGATGGGTCAGGGTTAGGACGTTGATCGATAAATTTGGGATTTATTGATTATTGATAAATAAATGAATTGATCAATTTTTATTTGAAATTTATTAAAAAATAAAACAATGTATATATATATATTTGTACATGTAATCTAATGATTTATTAAATTTACGCGAACACTACACATTGAATAAAACTATATAATTATATGGATTTTATCGCGTTTAATTAACTTATGGTCACTGGGGAGGGGAGGGAGAGGGAACTGAGATGTTTGACATCTCAATATCATAGTTAGTCCGGCTATCTTCAGTTTTTGAATATTGATTTTTGGTCCCGATCTACATAAAACGAGCTTACAGTATCTTGAAGTCTTGCAGTGGTATGATTGGGTTTGGATAGATTTTGTTAGGTTAGGAGGTAATCTGTGGGTGTATTGTAGTAAGTTTTTTAAGTAGATTTTTCGAAGTGTTCGTAATTATTGCCAAAGCTTATTTGCTATTTTTTATAGTATACAACTCTGTGCTTTTGTCTCTGCCCCTCTCCTAGTTTTGGTTTTATAAGGTGGCAAAGCTTAAGGTGACCATATTAAGCCCACGTACCTTAGTAAAAATGATGTTAAAAATTGTTTAAAAGTGTCACTAAGTCTATAAAGGCTTGTATTGATACCTACATTTACCGTGTTTATAATATCCTATGCCAAGTGTCTAGAAGTAATCTCGATAATAACGATGGAACATTCTAGGCCGTTTCGCCCTTTCTTTAAAAAAGTGAAAACAGTCACACTGCACACGTTAAAATCGCGGGTTTACAAAAAAAAAACTATAACACTACATTAAGTCGTTACAGCTTAATGTAGTAATCTCCTGTAGGACTTCCACATAGTGTGCCGTACGTACCTATCTTAGACAAATTTTCTTACAATTTGTCCAAGGTATGTATGTAGAGAATAAGGAAATAAATACAGTATAAATAACAAAATTTTCAAGTTTTACACTAATGTTATAAGTGATGGTTGGTGAATTGTAATTTAATTTGCAAATGATCTGTGAATTGTGGAAATCTTTACCAAATTTAAAATGTTGCCTTACTAACAATTTAAATTTACTTCACTTATCAATATGTTTAAAAAAATACTTCACCAAAAACATTGAACATGTTATATTCCGATTTAAAAAAATATAGAAATAAAAATAAATTCTCTACTTAATTTGCTGCTCAAAGGATCACCATCAATTCGTGTTGGTATTGTTGTCTATTGGCAGAACTCAATTGTTGACATTCTTCTTGTACAATTTCGCGCTATTAAAAATAATTATTAATGTATGAATAGTAGCAACCACACAAAATGTAATGCAGACTTGAGTATATCTCGAATTAACTCGCTTGTGTTAACACGTGACGTGAATGCAAGTTAATTCGATTAGATTGAAAGAGGTTTAGAGAGAAAACAAGCGTAGCATCGTGTCAGTGAGGCTCGAAGCTGTCCAACACGGGCCACCTGATCATTATTAAGGAATGTGCCCCAGACCAACCGTTAACTGAGATTAACGTTACCCAGTGAACCAGTGTATACTATATTTATGTATAGGCTTGTTAATTTAATGCGTACATGTGATTTATATATTGATAATTTTACGTGGTAGAGTCATGCTGTAGCTATATTACTGGTACCGTTGAATAGAATGCTAGCGTAAAATAGCAGCTTAATGCTGCTGTTTCGTATGGTGAGTGTAGAAACCCAAAGATACTTTTTGTGGAAACGAGGCGTTATATCTTAGTCCTCTCGGACGACAACGCATCTGCATTTTGATTCGTAGTCGAGGATAGATGTAGATGTCTATGGGCCATAGCAACTACTTACCATCAGGTAGACTGTGTGCTCGTTTGTCACCCTTATACTATAAAAAATAGGCTGTAAACACAATTTGATTTACAATATCAAAACAAAATCACATGCAGGCAGCATTGCTTGTAAAAGGGAATCCAAACACAGATTATCGAACCAAAACTCTATTTCTTCCTTTGTATAGGAAAGGGTAGAAGGGCCTCATGGCTTTAAATAGATGTTATATACCTGAATGATATACCGATACACTAGGAACTAAATTTTATGGTCTTACTAGTGGTGGTTCCCCTCTATTTAAACCTATTTTCTCATAAATCATATCTAGATAATTTTTCGATCTTTAATTTATTTTTACACAAATGTTTGCTCCAGCTTTAGATTTTTTCGAATTACTGTGGATTCTACTCCAGAAACCGCGAGCGTATCTCAAAGAATGATTTAAGTATATACTGCGTTATTCTAGTCGTGGCAACTCCACCTCCTCCTCCTCTCTACATTGGTCACCAACACGTTATGTATGCAATAGACCAGCTCAGCTAAGCATCTCTGACAGCTTGTCACGGCAAGTCATGTCACAGTTTGAATTTGAACATGAAGGTCATTCATTCGTTAACACTAGCGATATATGCATTTAATCGCGTATGGAACATTGTAAATTGCACCTTCGTGTATTGTAATAACGATTAATATTTTTATTCAAATACATTTTTACATATTAGACATTCAAAGCTTATCATACATTAAATATGCTCGAGAACTATTTACAATAAATATACTATTTTATTATACAGCACGTTCCGCCCAAGATTCGTGGTTTCAATTATGATTATAAATCATTCATGAATCAACTTAATCACACACACACACAATCACATACACACGGACGTAAGAACTAATATAATAATATATATATATATATATATATATATATATATATATATATATATATAAAGATATTCATGGGCAGAACGGCCGAATATAGAGTAATGTCAAAACAGTATTCGAATTGCAGTAAAAGTAAAAAGTAAAATTTCTACACCGGGCAACATTTTTTACGTGGTAGAGCTACCCTACAGTTATATTATAGTTGTGCCATATGAGTAGATATATATCTACTCATGTGGTTGTAGAACGAATGGGTCGGCTTAACAGGGGTTGGACCACGCTCTCACAGAATACCAGCGTAAAATAGCAGCGTAACGCTGCTGTGTTTCGTATGGTGAGTGTAGAGAACCGGAGGCCTTTTTCACTGCAAACGAGCCATCCCATCTTAGGCTTCAGGGGTGACAACGTAGCTGCATTTTTATTCTTAATTGAGATTAAATGTGGATGTCTATAGGCCACAGCATTCACTTACCATCGGGTGAATTGTGTGCTTGTTTGTCACCCAATGCTAAAAGTAAAGTAAGTAAAGTTAAAGCCTATAAACGTCCCAGTGCTGGGCACAGAAATCCCCTCATTTCTGAGAGGTTTTTAGGGCAGGGAAGTGTCCGCCGCGCTGCAATGCTGCGAACTTCACATGTCTTCGAAATATTTTTTTTTGCTACTCCCCAATGCTATATAAATTTTTCAACACCGAATGCTATATATATTTTTTTAGATTCTATTAATTACCAACATAATTAATACTCCCGTTGTACTATCCAAGGATACTTGTGTTAGAAATAGTTCAAGACAGTAATCGAATGGTGAATTTGATCCTTTAACCTCTATCGCTTAGAATTCGCAGAAATCAATGAAAACACAATGTAAAATATTGTATTGTTATAATTAAGTGTAAGTAAATACACTTTGCTAACAGACATTCAAAGCTCTGACGGCCGATCTAAGGTGGAAAATTCTTTGAAATATGACCAACCTAATTCTGAGATTTCAGATTTGATTCCTTCAATGATAAACCCATCAATTTAAGATTTTCTACTATATCTTTAATAATAAAACATACATACTACCACTTTGTATTGTTCACGTCATTAGAGTAACATACTAGTTCGTACACAGTATTACTATTCCCATCAGTCACGTAATCGCAATATGGATTTTAATAAAAAGTATCACGCCACCTAGTAAAGGATTGATTTCTTTAATTGTATATAAAAGTTAGTTTTAAAATCGTAACTGGCAACCTTGATATGAATCCACGAAGGCCGTATCACTGCTAGCATTAAACGAGTTTTATTAGCGGTGTCACGGTAATATTATCTATACAGTATTCCAACTTCATACAAACGGACGAAGCGAGAGCTATACCTACGCGCCTCGATCTCGGCATGCGCTCGGCATGCAGACAGTCGAGACTGTGCCGCAGTGATGATTTTGTGAAATATATAAAAAAATGGAGGAAATAAATAATAGAATAGAAATAAAGAAATAATAAATCTGAACTTCATTTAAAAACAAACATATAAATTGTAAAATAGCTGCAGGTATCTATAACCAATTAATAGATATTCCTTTTCTCCACGTTGTCCATGTTTCCCAAAACAATTTTTAATTTATATTATTTTTAGCTTTATATTAGAAAGCGGATTTTTTATATTTAAAAATCTAATAATAAAGCATTTCGTAAGTCTCAGCCGAGGCGCAAATATTTTTCAGTCGCAAATTTATTTAACCGATTTGTTATTTAAACATAAACATGGTTTTTTAGGGTTCCGTAGTTAACTAGGAACCCTTATAGTTTCGCCATGTCTGTCTGTCCGTCTGTCCGTCCTCGCTTAATCTCTGTGACCGTTAGCACTAGAAAGCTGAAATTTGGTACCAATATGTGTATCAATCACGCCGACAAAGTGGTAAAATAAAAATTGGAAAAAATGTTTTATTAGGGTAGCCCCCCTATATGTAAAGTGGGAAGTGATTTTTTTTAATTTCAACCCTAGCGTGTGACATATTGTTGGAAAGGTATTTAAAAATGAATAGGTGTTTACTAAAATCATTTTTTGATAATGTCAATAATTTCGGAAATAATCACTCCAAAAGTAAAAAACAATGTGCCCCCCCCCTCTAACTTTTGAACCATAAGTTTAGAAAATATGAAAAAAATCCGAAAAGTAGAACTTTATAAGGACTTTCTAGGAAAATCATTTTGAACTTGGATGGAAACAGCAGTACCCACTACCGGGAGCAGTTGCAGGAGCGCGGAGCGCTGCTGGAGCGCGAACATAATGGATACCTTTAAACTCATAAGTGGGAACATTTATTGTAACGGACGGGAAACTACGGAACCCTACACTGAGCGTGGCCCGACACGCTCGTGGCCGCTTTTATTTTAATTAAATCTACCAATCAAAAAACGACACGCATTTTTATCGACATAACACTTCCTATTCAATTCACAAAGTACCTATTTAATTTGTTTATATAAAAAGTATATTTACAATCATAAAACTAAATAGAAACACAAAGTAGGCAAATGTAAAGATGCTGGAGGCAGGCAGCCCTAACGCATGTTTACGTGCCGCACTGCTGTAGGCATTTATTTGAAAGATACGGCCGAGTTACAATACTGTATAGATAATATTACCGTGGCGGTGTCAAGTGTTCACACATTTTGTTTCTTTATTTCCGAACCGTTAGATTTTGAATATCGAACATCTTGTCGACGCATTGAAGCGTTCATTTTGAAATATACCGAGTAACATTTGTTCAGTAATATTTTGCTTACGTGGATAAATCAGGATAGATTACATCGAACTGAAGTCGAAACTTATTCTTGTTTAATTTCTAGTTTGTCATTTCTTGAATATTTGCTAAAACTAATACTATTACTAAAATAAATAAAAAAATAAAAATAATTATTAGTTTTTGTGTGGAATTACATCGAACTGAAGTCGAAACTTATTCTTGTTTAATTTCTAGTTTGTCATTTCTTGAATATTTGCTAAAACTAATACTATTACTAAAATAAATAAAAAAATAAAAATAATTATTGGTTTTTGTGTGGAATTATTGAATTTTGTGCACGTCTCTTTTTTTCGCTTACAGTGAGTTTAGTATATTAGTGAATTAGAAAATTAATGAGTTAGTGAATTAGAGATAGCACAATACTTAACGGCATCTTAAAATTGAGTAGCGTTTGACTTTGAATATTTAGTTCTTTAGGCATAATACAATAACACTGCGTTTAGGCAAGTACCGTCTTCTGTTATATTGCTGTCGCTAGGCAGCACGTGCATCCATTATTGTGCTCCGTTTTGAAGAGTAAAGGAATAATTGCGGGTTAATAGGCGCTTGAATCAGGTCCTTTGGGATAACAATGTTTGTTATCCCAACCTTTTTTGTGTTTAGAGTTATCTTCAGGTGTATCTAGACTGCAGTTGGCATTTATTATATTAGACGTTGTACGATCTAGTTTGTCACTCTAATGATGTAATATAAAGTGAAGTCGTTAAATTCACGAAAATGTCCAGCTCATGATTTTTTATTATTAAAGATATAGTAGAAAATCTTAAATTGGATGAGTTTCTCATCTATAAATTTACCGCAAAAACGATACATCAGTAAACAGTGGTGGCATACTAGGGACTATATACGTGGTAGAGCCGCACTGCAGCTATAATAGTTGTAGTACAAATTAGTCGGCTCGACCGGTGCAGGACCACGCTCTCACAGAATACCAGCGTAATATAGCAGCTTATAAGGCTGCTGTATTTCGTATGGTGAGTGTAGAGAACAGGAGACTCTTTTTACTAGAAACGGGGCATTCCATCTCAGTACTCAAGGGTGACAACGCATCTGCATTTTTATTCTAAATCGAGGATAAATGTAAATGTCTATGTGTCACAGCATCCACTTACAATCAGGTGGACTGTGCGCACGTTTGTCACTCTTATTCTATAAAAAATATATAATATAATTATATCCTTGCACAACATGATATTTAGAGGCTGGAACTTAACATGATATTTAGATTTACCATGTATGTATAGCGAATCGTGGTAATTATAGCAGGAACTAGGACCACATAAATTAAAACAAGATGAACCGTAACATTTTGTTGCGTGTTTTAAACAAAACCAATATTTCCTTCTCATTGCAAACAAATTACAAATTAATGCAACGCATCACGACCTTAATTCATGCCAAGTAAACAATAAAAATGTTTATATAACCTGCTTTCAGTAATGCATTATGTTTGCATTATATGTCCCGCAAATGTTTATGCTAATAAATTGCAATTTTGTGAGGACGTGCTACGTACACTTTTGTAAAGGTGATCATGCAATAATTAGAAATTCAGAAACACCACTATCGAATTCTTTTTTTTTAGTAGAGTTAGATTTAATAGTGTGTATTAGTTAAAATCATACATTGTTACACTTGAGAACTAAGATTCAATGCTTCATTACCAATAAATTAGAGTTTTCAGTTCCCTACAATCACCATACGAAACACATCAGCATTTAGCTGCTAGTTCACTCCATATTCTATGCGAGCGTGGTCCTGCCCCGGTCGAGCCGACCCATTCGTGCTACAACTATTATATAGCTGCATGCTAGCTCTACCAATTTTAAACTATTTTAAATTATTTATCTATTATATTAAAGAGTCCCTTTGAGAAATACTCTGCTATCTTTGGTTGAGACGATTCATTCACTCACGAAAACCGAAATACAGTAACGGTGCAACTTTACAACAGAAGAAGGTACGACGAAAGTTATACTGCAACTTTACTGCAAGCGTGTACATAAATCGATAACGTAATTCATATTTAAATCAATTGATGTTTCTTTACAACGGTCGCTGTGGCTGAATCGATGTTAAAATCGATTTTGACACGATTGTCGAATCAGCGTTGAATCGATAGAGAAGCGTGCGGAACACACTTTTGGATGAATGTCGGTAATTTCTGTCTACAAACTAACCTTTAAATCAGCGTGACAGAGTTCTAAGATCCGTATTCAAACACAATCTGAAGCTTTAACTCAAACTTTACAATGTAACGGAACTTGTGTAACTATGGTCTATAGTATCTAATTTTAACATCGTAAATTTTGTGTTTAAATTTGAGTCGACTTGTCTCTGAATAAAAATATTAGTTTCGTTTGTTATGATTTAGAATCTAGTTCTTCGTTATTACATTGTGAAATTTTAATAAGGGCTTGAGATTTTTTTTGAATCCTAGCTTTATTGTCATACATGTATGTACACGCAAGCATTTTCTAACGAAATCGAATTTACCTAACAAATGATTGAATTTTACTCACTGACCGCTTTATCTAGATATTAAAATTAAAACAGCTGCGTTATGTCCTTCTCGAAGGTTCTTTCGATTCCAGAGGCGAGTTCCACATAATCAGACGCTATTAGCAGCGTAGCAAAATACCTTAATAGCACAAATACGAGTTGATTTGCAAATAAAAAACATTCTACTTGTTTTATGTTTTAACCTACTTTTAATTTAAAAAAATCTCCTACTCTCGCCCATCAATCGGATACACATAATATGTACCTACTTCTTATCACTTTTCTACAATAAAATAAAAATAAACATTAGTATCTCACCAGCCAGCCACACCTCAATTCAACTTGAGTTGAATAAGTATTCGACCAATATGTTTTGTTAGGGTTCCGTAGTCAACTAGGAACCCTTATAGTTTCGCCATGTCTGTCTGTCCGTCTGTCCGTCCTCGCTTAATCTCTGTGACCGTTAGGACTAGAAAGCTGAAATTTGGTACCAATATGTGTATCAATCACGCCGACAAAGTGGTAAAATAAAAATTGGAAAAAAATGTTTTATAAGGGTAGCCCCCCTATATGTAAAGTGAGAAGTGATTTTTTTTTTTTAATTTCAACCCTAACGTGTGATATATTGTTGGAAAGGTATTTAAAAATGAATAGGGGTTTACTAAGATCATTTTTTGATAATGTCAATAATTTCGGAAATAATCGCTCCAAAAGTAAAAAACAATGTGTCCCCCCCCCTCTAACTTTTGAACCATGAGTTTAGAAAATATGAAAAAAATCTGTAAAGTAGAACTTTGTAAGGACTTTCCAGGAAAATTATTTTGAACTTGGATGGAAACAGTTTTTGTACAAAAAAAGACAAAAAGTTGTACAAAATAATTTCTGGACTAAGTTTGTAGTAGAATCGTATATGCAAGCATTTTTTTTAACTTCGTTTACATATCTTTTTCAAACAAAAAAAGAATTATTAAAATCGGTTCTCGCAATCCAAAATTACCACCGAAAACTTCTGGCACGTCTATGTATTAATTAATAACCCAATCCCCGAGAGATGTCGCTGTAGGTACTTATTACATTGGTCGGGTGTTATCGAATTGTTCGGTTGGTCTCTCCTTGGCATTGGCGGTATCTTATAACAACATAAAACTTTTATCAAGAACATGCTAAGGCAATTTAGAACAAATCTAAAATTCATTTTTTTAACGCCATCAAAATGTTAAGGTAAAAACCAGTTCATAAATGGTTCGATAGATGGCGTTGCATAATGACGTTATTTTATTAAAAGTCAATGTTAATATTTTCCGTGCTTTCATGACCTACCGTGGTAAAGGAAGTTGCACTTAAACATATTCGTAATCCTATGAGTGCACAATCTAATAGTCGTCGAGGTTTGATAAAATTAGATTGTGGGTTAAATTAACTTCTTTTGCGGATATTGTTCATATTAATTTTGTATGTACGCACAGTACGCAGTTACTTGATACGTACAACTCCTAGCTAATTACGATTTGAAGTGGGCTAGTTTGTTAAAATAGTGTTAAACACACTTGTTTATAATTACTTATTGTCCGGTATTAAAATGTTCTCGTATATTTTGAACAGTAATAATCATGTTGAGGACGACGTTGTGCGCGCCTTTCATGATGTGTTAGCCCAACACACATTGTTTCGGCCTAGAGAAGTGTCTCTTTTTCTTTATCCGGAACTAATAGAGCCTGTGCCTCAAAACGAGTCTCATTTACAAATTATATATGGCGGAGAAGTCGGGTTTGTGGGGCATTGGATTTGCATTTATTACATCAATGGAATATTACGGGTCTATGATAGTTTATATAATAGTTTAAGTCATTCGCAGCACGTTTACGTTAACGCACTATTCCCATACTTGGATAATAATAAAATACAATTTCCTAGTGTCCAACGTCAACCAAATAATAGTATTGAGTGTGGGCTATTCGCCATTTGTTTTGCCACCGCTTTAGCTTTGAGAGTTAATCCATCCTGTATCAATTTCGTTGCCGAGGACATGCGACGTCATTTGTTTGATATGTTATCTCGAGGTGTATTAGAACTTTTCCCATCAACTAACACCGCAAGAAGAGCTGGCCGGCCACCAGCAAATTTGTTCCTTAATATACTAGCAAAGAAAGAAAAATGTAAAATTAAGGATGCCGAAAAGAAAAAAAAACAAAAGGTCTCAAAAGACACAGTCTCAAGAAACTGAAAGTCAAAACGTTAATTACAAGAAAAACATTGAATACCCCACATTTACAGATAATACGCAGATATTTGAAAGTCCAACGTCTACAAGTAGTACGCAGATATTTGAAAGTCCAACGTTTACAGGTATTACGCAGATAATTGAAAGTCCAACATTTACAGATGAATCACAGAAAGACAAAAATCCGACTAATGATATCCAGACCATTGACTGTTTAGCACTTACGTATAGTACTCAAGAAAAACCAAGTCCTACATTAAGATATGCCAACAACGAACATACTGGGTCCGGCCAAGCCAAACGTAGAAGAAAAAATACTGATTACACACAGACTAAGCAAATACGAAATACTGAGAGCCACAGAGCCACTCGTCAGATTCCCGTCATTATACAGGCAGAGCAACAACGCAACACGCAGGCTCATCGCTTAGCTCGTGAAAACCCTATCTTCCGGGATACAGAACAGCAGCGGGACACGCAGGCTCGCCGTGAAGCTCGAGAAAACCCTATCTTCCGGGATACAGAACAGCAGCGAAATACGCATGCTCACCGCATAGCTCGGGAAAACCCAGTCTTCCGTGATATAGAGCAACGGCGTGATACCCAGGCTCACCAAATAGCTCGCAAAGATCCACATTATTCACAAATTGAACGAGCTAGAGACACCAGAGCTCGACAATCGGCGCGTTGTAATTCTATTAATGATTGGGATAATGTTAAACGAAAATATTTTAATAACACCAAGGAAGGATACAATCATCCTTGTTCATGTTGTGGTAGACTATGGCACAAAAATTCTGTAAGGAAACTAATAAAGCATTCTATTTCGACTAAATATAATGCAGAATTCGCGTTAAGTGTATTTAATTTAAATCCTTGTGATGAATCTGCTGAGTTTTGCTGTACGTGTGCTAAATATATAACTCAAGGGCGAATGCCACGATTAGCAATAGCTAATGGATTGAAGTTTCCAGATATTCCGGATGTTTTGAATAAATTAACTTCAATGGAGGAGAGATTAGTAAGTCCTCGTCACGTATTTTTGAAAATAGTTCGTAGAGGCCAGGGATTAGGATATCAGCATGGTTTATCAGGAAATGTTATTAATGTACCTGTAAAAATTAATAACATGGTAAAAGCTTTGCCTCGGTCGATAAATGATGACAATGTCATCACTGTAGAGTTGAAGCGTAAATTCTGTTATAAACATGGTCGAAAAGAACAAGTCCGCCCGGAAATCATACGGAGAGCAGCGGAATATTTAGTAACGTGTGATCTGTTTCGGACATATGGTATAGAACTTGAAGGTTCATGGACAAATAATGAAACTGAAGACACTGTCGAATGTACCTGTAGTTCACCTGAGCAGGAGAGCAATGTTGATGAGATCCCCGATGTAAATCCTGGTGGCACAGAAACTCTGTTAGATGAAAACCAAGACCTATCAATAGTTATGGCTCCAGGAGAAGGTGAAAGGCCAATTTCCTTGCTTTTTGATCGACATCTGGAAGAGCTGGCTTTCATAAAAGTACATTGCGCTATTGAGCGAAAATACCTCGTGAACTTAAGTCATTCTGAAGTCACACGTTCAGAAATTTCCAGAAATGACAGGCGAGCTGTAAGACCTGATTACCTATTTACTGCCCTGAAAAAGCAACAAACTATTGCCGTCAAAAATAATGTTACGACCTGTTTACGCAAAAAAACTGTCCGAGGTGCCCCTGTATTTGCATGCAATGTGCTTCAAAATAATTTTGTTGACAATTTAGTTCAACATGACGATGGGTATCGTGTTCTTGGAGGAATTAGAAATTCTCCTGCTCACTGGGAAAGTGAAAAGAAAAAGTTGTTGGCAATGGTTAGACAGTTCGGTGTTCCCACTTTATTTTTAACTATATCTGCTGCTGAAGTACAATGGATTCCATTATTAATTTTGCTTAGTGAAGTAGTTGATAAGAAAAAACTTACTGAGCTTGAAGCGGAAAACTTGCCATACGATACAAAAACTCGCCTTATACAATCCGATCCGTTCATTTGCGCCACATATTTTGAAATCAAATTAAAAGAAATTCAAAAAACCTGGTCCTGTTCATCTGGACCTTTCTTAAATTATAAAATCACACACTTTTATTATCGCATTGAATTTCAGCATAGAGGATCGCCTCATGCTCATATGATGTTATGGTTAGACGAAGCGCCCACTTTTGTACCCGGTGATACAGCATCTGCTCGTGATATTTCCAAATTTGTTGACAATATTATTTCCTGTAACAGCACTGAAGTACCTGATGAACTTAGACGTCTACAACTACATAAACATACACATACATGCCGGCCAACATCAGATAGACTGTGTCGCTTTGGAATACCATTTTTCCCCATGGATAAAACAAAAGTATTAAAAGAACTTTCAAAAGACGATCCAGAGTTCAAAAAAGTCAAAACAATTGGCAAAAGACATCTGCCAAAAAATACAAAATATCCCTGCAGAAATATACACTTTCGTTGATTTTTTGGACTGGATTAGAGTTAGTTATGAAGATTACATATTGGCTATTAGAAGCACCTTAAAACGACCTACGGTAGTCCTTCAACGAAGACCTCAGGATGTATTTATTAATCCTTTTAGTAAAAAAATCTTAGCTTTGCACAAAGCAAACATGGACATCCAATTCATATTAGACCCTTTTGCGTGCGCAGTATATATTGTTGACTATATTAACAAGGCTGACCGAGGGATGTCTCGTCTTTTGCGTGAAGCTTTGGACGAAGCTAAAAAAAGGAAATAAAAGTGTTAAAGATTCATTAAGAATAGTATCTAATGTATTCTTAAATTCTAGTGAGATCTCTGCTCAAGAGGCAATCTATGTACTGACTGGTTTACCGCTGTCACGAGCTAGTGAAGCTGCAATGTACATAAACACTAGTTTGCCACAAGAGCGAGTGCATATTTTAAAAAGTTACCTTGAATTGCAAAGCCTCGAACCTGATTCTTCCGATATATTCCAAAAGGGTATTATTGATTATTATTCAAAACGACCACTATCGTTAGAAAACATAAGTCTTTCCCATTTTGTAGCATATTACACCTATTCCAAAAAAACTCATTCAGCTAGTTCAATAGAAACTCTCAATGACAGTTCTCAAGCAATTAATTATTCCCAGGCTGTTGAAGAAGTTGAAGCGGAAGGGAATTGGATTCCTTTGCAAGATAATTTAGGATACATACGGAAAAGAACTAAAACTCGAGTAATACGATTTCGCCGGTACAGTTACATTGATGATCCAGACAATTTCTATAGGGAACAGATAATGCTATACATCCCTTGGCGAAGCGAGGAGGAAGAATTACTAAATCCCAACATAAATATAAAGGACATATTTGACGAGTATAAAGAAAGAATAAAGGCCGAAAGTAAACAATTCAATAAACTAGGTGATGCTGAAATGTTTGAAACATTGCTAACAGAAATAAGAAATGTAGAATTAATAAACGAAGAAGAAGATTTGCAAGGAAGAGGAGTCAACGTGGATGTATTTGAAGGCTTTGAATTTGAGACGCAAACAGTAGATATAGCAGAAGAACTCATTCCAGGCGGTAATCCCGGGCCGCAATTGTGTGGTGACCCCTCAACTTTCATTGCGCAACCACCTGTCTTGTCCCATGACGATTTTTTGATTCTTACTAGAAAACTAAATGATGCTCAAAGAGACACGTTGTTTCATATTTATCAACACTTTTCCATTACTTCTCCACATCCACTATATTTATTTATCAGTGGTGGGGCTGGCGTTGGCAAAAGTATTCTGATTAAAGCAATTTATCAATGCCTAACTCTCTTATTTAACAGAGAAGCTGGTAGTAATCCCGATGAATTAAAAATACTTTTAACAGCTTTTACCGGTAAAGCTGCATTCGGAATAGGAGGGCAAACAATCCATAGCGCACTTGGACTTCCAGTGTCTCAAGCGGGCAATATTTTACCAGAGCTGTCACCAAGTGTGGCCAATACTCTGGCCACAAAACTAGCAAAACTACGTTTAATTGTAATTGATGAAATTTCAATGCTAGGATCCAGGACATTCCATCAAATAAATCGTAGACTTCAGCAAATATTTCATTCTTCTACCTTCTTTTCTGGAATTTCAGTGATAGTAGTTGGAGACTTCAGACAATTACCACCTGTTGGCGACAACTGGGTGTTTCAAGCTAATTCTCGAAATCCTTTAGCAGAAATAGCAGGTACGCCGCTTTGGGATTTATTTGTACTGACAGAGCTTAAAGAAATAATGCGTCAAAGGGATGATGTTGCCTTTGCAACGGCATTAAATAATATGGCTAGTGGATGTATGTCACCTGAAGATGTCAATTTAATTGAAGGTCGGTGCTTTAGTAAATCATCACTTCCAGACACGTGTAAGGGCGCAGTTCATCTATTCAGCAGTAACCGAGAAGTTGATGGGCATAATTCTAAAATACTCTCAAATATGACTACCGAAGGAGCGATATCCCGGGCTGTGGATAGAGTAAGTGGCGAAGCTAATCCTGCTATGAAAGAAAAAGCTCTAAACACAGTTGCCAAGTTACCCACGTCTCAAACCTACGGATTACCTAATGCTATAACTTTAAAAATCACGGCTAAATATATGATGACAGTAAATATTAACACGTCAGACGGACTAGTGAATGGAACCACGGGGGGTACTGACTGCGATTGATTTTGCAGTCAATCCAACTACCGGTGAGAGAAGACCATTACGCATTTGGATATGTTTCGATGACGTAAATATAGGCAAATTAAAAAGAATTCAGAGCTCAACATCCCTCACTCGTTATCAAACACGGCTAAAAAATAATTGGACTCCAATAGAGCCAGTTACGTACACTGTGAAAAGGTACAAATCTTCAAACTTACAAGTGCGTCGCAGTCAATTCCCAGTAGTTCCCGCTGAAGCTGTTACTATACATAAAAGTCAGGGTTCCACCTTAGAAAAAGTTGTAGTACATTTAAAGCCCAATATTTTAAGATCTATGTTATACGTCGCCTGCTCACGTGCCACTAGCTCAAAAGGTTTATTCATTGTTACCGAGACCTTTCGTCCTCCACGTCCACCATCTGAGCATGATTCCGTCGTAACGGAAATGCGAAAATTAAAATTAAATCCCCTGATTCCCATATATCGCTTTTTAAGAGAGCCCCGCAGTTCCTGCCAAATTATGTTCCATAACGTACAATCTCTACGTAAACACTTGCAGGATGTAGTAACCGATCCGCAGACGATGGCATGCGACATTTATTTAGCCGTAGAAACTTGGAGTTGCCTTCAAGATTTATTCAATATGAATAATTTTGAAGAAATAGTTCGAACAAATGGCCCGAAACAGTATTCTGCAAACCCCGGCTTTGGTGTATCTGCAATGATAAAACATAATCTAGAATATTCCAACCCACGATCTTACAGTGAAATTTCCGGAACTGAGCACTGTGAAGCAGTATCTTTTGAAGTAAATAATGTGAAAATAGTAGCCTTATATAGATCATGCAAATGCCCCAACAGCGTCGCAGTGGGTTTTATAAGTAATTTACTGCCGCATAATAGTTCTTGCATTATATTTGGAGATTTTAACGAAGACTACCTTAGTAACAGCAATACTGCAGTATTTAAATTACTAAATGATGCTGGTTATCACTCCATGTTACAACCCCTACCCACTACTCGTGGTGGGACTCAAATAGACAACATTTTCTCGAACTTTCCATGTGTGGTTGGAATCTATAACTCTTTTTTTAGTTATCACCGTCCTTTGTGGGCCCGTTTTTAGTGTTCCGTAATTGTTAGAGTTCCGTAACAAATAGCCTTTTTTAAGTTGGGTTACCACTATGTTCGCGCTCCAGCGGCGCTCCGCGCTCCTGCAACTGCTCCAATGGATACGTGGCGCGCACTTCTACATGCGCTCCCCTTTAACACACTGCGCTCCCCTTTGTGTTCGCGCTAAAAACCATCATGAGTCGGAGCGCCTGCCGCGGAGCGTGCAATGTTGCACGCTCCATGTTCGCGCACGTACCCACTACCGGGAGCAGTTGCAGGAGCGCGGAGCGCTGCTGGAGCGCGAATATAATGGCTACCCACCTTTAAACTCATAAGTGGGAACACTTATTGTGACGGACGGGAAACTACGGAACCCTACACTGAGCGTGGCCCGACACGCTCTTGGCCGATTTTTATTTTTTGCTTACTTTCTATATCATCTTGTGTTTTGTTTTCTTTTCTTCATTGGATCTGATAATATGTTAAATAAATATGTGAAAAGTCAATCATAACATATACATGTCAGACAGTATGACCGGCATGAAATAACTTAATGATGCAGCATTTATGTCACAGTTAGAAAAAAACTATTTATACCGACGAATGCGTAAGTGCTTTTGACTGTAGGCTTTGGTCAAAAGAAATTTCGATTTAACACTTTGTTACCGGCTAAACCCGATTTTAGCAGAAATTAGTTTTTACTAAGCCTGATAGGATCCACTAGATGTTCGCTGATTTGGGGTGGCCCTTACAAGTGAGAAAGAAAAAACACATAGACCTTCCTATAGATTTTATCATGGGAGATAATTGTCATAGTAGCCATGCTGGGCAGACAGGCTTGCAGCCGCAGCTTTTTGTTATTTCTAGTTGTTATCGGGGGAATCCCGCTCAAGATCTCCTGTTTTATTTCACGGTAAAAATCGCTGTGTAGCGATTTTTACCACCGAATTATTTACTAATTTTAAGTTATTTTTAAAATATTGCTTTGTGGTATTCCTTATTATGTTCAGCAGTGTACTTGGGTAGAGCTGTAATGAATGAATGTATATAAAATATTATAATTTATTCATGAAGTTTCACCAACTTCTTTTCGTTGATTTTTTTTTTTACAAATTGAAACTTCAAAAAACATGCTCCTAATTCTGGCAATTGTATTCATATGAACAAAGCTTGACACACAACTACGGATATTTCATTAGCACCTAAGTCCTCAGGGCTGACGATGCTTTTGTGACCTTCGCTTGAAGTTTTAGGTGTCCATGGACTGCAGTAGGGTTTTTTTACGTGGTAGAGCCACGGTGCAGCTATATTATATTTGTAGCACGAATGGGTCGGCTCGACCGGGGAAGGACCACGCTCTCACAGAATACCAGCGGAAAATAGAAACTTAACATTGCTGTGTTTCTTATGGTGGAAATTCGGAGACCTTTTTTACTGGAAACGAAGCATTCCATCTTGGTCCTCAGGGGTTACAACGCATTTGCGTTTTGATTCTTAATCCAGGATAAATGTAGATGTCTATGGACCACAGCATTCACTTACCATCAGTGGGACTATGTGCTCGTTTGTCACCTTAATCTAAAAATTACATGTTGAATGCGTTGGTTTGCTTTCACAAGTGATATCTTGATCGCAATGCGTATTTGTGGTCAACTGCTGATGGATATTAATAGCTTGTCAAGTTGAAGACTCACTCTTACACGGAGTGGGTTAATCGATGATAAACAGAGCTAACTCGATTGGTTATAATAACATACTATTTTCATCATTATTTTCACCGATGACTGTGTGACTTTTGTCTAAACTTGACGGATGTTAAATGAGCGCGATGATTACCTACTCTACACCATGCATCCTAGTTTAACTACGTTTTGATTAACTTGCTTTGTTGTCTGTTTGTCGCACGTATATAGTGCATGCAGCCCCGTTTCACTACATTATTTTTAACTTGCTTTCTTCTATACGTCTCATCATCATCAACATTGCAGTTTTGATAAAATAGATCATTGCTGATCATAGGTCTTCTCCATAAATTTCTTCAAAGCAGGGGGGGAGACATTAGCCATAGTTAGTTAGTGATATAATGTAGTGGGATTCTTTTCAAGTTTCTGTCTCATCATCATCATTACAGCCCTTCATAATTGCACTGTTGATTCATCGACTTCCTGTATGTCTTAACAGGTCGTCACTCCATCTAGTAGAGGGACGTTCTACACTTCGCTTACCGGTACGAGGCTGCCAACCGATAATCTTTCTTCCCCATCGGTTATCGGTTCTTCGAGCTATATAGCCGGCCCATTGCTACTTCAGCTTACTAATCCGGTAGACTTTGTCGGTTACGCTGGTACTACTGCGGATATCCTCGTTTTTAATTCTATCGCGCAGAGAAACCCCTACATAGCCTCCTCCATAGCTCGCTGAACAACCTTAAACGACGACTATGTCCGTTCTGTACAAATTTTGCAATCCATTTAAACAAATTTACTGATGAGTGAACGACTTGAAAATTCTAATATGTCTCAGAACTGGAAGGATAGTAATCTATTATTTTATGTTGAGTTCTTAGTTATTTTACCCATTTAATATACGCATAATTTTTAACAGAAATTTAATACAAATATCCGCCTAAATCAGAATCTTTCACTATTGCATAATAAGCGATAGGCGTCAAAGAAATCAAGGCAAAACTGTAAAACATTTTATGCCGTTTATTTGGACAAATTTTTTCCCTATAATATTATAGGTTTGTACTATATAATATTATAGTACAAACGTCATATATAGGTATGACGTTTGTACTATTGCCCTGTTTAGAATTTGTAATGACGGCCTCCATTACAGCGCGATCTTTGGAAAACAATTACCTAATTTGTCACCAAAACAATCGTTTAAGTAGTGTTAGCAAGAAATCGTTAAAGAGTATTTCAAAACAGATCAGACGGCTGTGTGTAGGTTAACCAAATATTTACAATTTGCAAAAAATATTGTAATGTGAACGGCATTGTAACATAACGTTATCAAACAAAACGTATTTTTCCAGTTTTAATAAGCTGTTTTTATAACTGATTTTTGTTAAATCAAATGAAATGAATGTTTTTATTTTAAAAAAAAAAGTTTTAAATTACAATTTAAAACTTTTTACTTTACCAAAACTTTACTTTAACAAAAATATAATATCTATTACCGGTGTCAATGAAAATATTTTATTAATTTAATCGACAGTGTAAGAAAACACATCCCTACACTGGAGCGTGACAAGTACTTTCTTGCTGCATTACCATCACCTTAAAATTTTAATGATGTGTGTCTGATTGCTTTGTATGCTTCTTTACTTTGTTTATCCTTGATACTCGTAATTGAACAAAAATGCAAATACAAATGTTTCAAAATAAGTATTTGTCATAAAAAGGATATAAACACCTTCGTACTCGCAATCAAATGTCCTAGAATTGTCCTTATATAAATGCAAGCCCTAACTAGCCATAAACCGTAGAACCCATTTTGAGGCTACGTACCAAAGATAAGGAGCAGCGTCAGTCATTAGATAAATATGCAATTAAGACCAAGGGAGCTTCAAATGCCATTTGTAAACAGTATCCAATCATCAATTCACCGGCAACTTGCTTATTTTACGATTCAAGTCACATAATACACGAAAACAACTAAAGTAAAAAATTGGCGGGAAAAATTACGTACGCTTATTTTTTTTTTTGCCATTATCTAAAACGATTAGATTAGGGTAAGGTCTTTTAAAATGTACCTAATAAATTGTTAAATATTTTTGGTAATTATAGTATATTTAATTTAATTAATTATAATATTAGTATACAAAGTATATTATTAAAAATTGTTGTATATTTAATAGTGAAGTGTTTGTATATACCATCTCTATATATCTTTGTATAAATTAAGTCGATTTTAGTGGCATTTAATTTTAAAATAAAAGTGGAGTTATTAACTTCTTAACTTCTTGTTAACAAAAGTGCGTACCGCGCTCGTTCTGCGTTAACAAACGGACGTGGTGCCGACACAAATTGCCTGGCGTCCGGCAAATTTCAAAACTGAATTGGGTGTTTTATACACTATTGCTTATTCAGTTAGCGTTGTGTGGTGCTATTGTGGCGATGTGATGCTTGTGTTGTTATCATGATTTGTGATACCGTGCGATTGAAGATACGGGAGAAAATGATGAGCTGTAAGGGCTTGGCGATGGTTCGATCGTACATCGACATCCTGGTAGGTGTTCTTATTTGCATTCAACTGTTATATTTTAGAATTTTATAATATAATATCATTTAGTTTACCTTACGATTACTTAAAAAATTATAATAAAATAGGATTCGTATAATCATAAAGTGCACACCGATCTCTCGTGTTAACCAAAAAGAATGTTATCTCTACTTGCATTTTTTATAAAGACCAACTGACAGAACAGTGAGTAATAATTTTATAATTTTTTTTAGAAAAAAGGATATTAACAATAATGATTTCTTAAATTTACGCGAACACTACACATTGAATAAAACTAAATTTACGGATTTTATCGCGTTTATTTCACTACTTTTACTTATTTTTAATTCCCGACTACCAACACTAATTACTATGTGAGTATGAGTGTCTGTGTACATGAAATACTGGCGTTTTTAGCAGTAATGATTTTATTTAAACATGTATTAAAAAACAAGATTCTCAAGA